GGAGGGCTCCCTGGCTCCTGCTGGTACCAACATATTACAAATTCACCAACACTGAAGCCACTGCTCAGGGTGCAGGTGAGTCTGGCTGATGCTCCAGGAGATGCAGAGAGGGAGGGCGGCTGAGTCAGCACAGGCTGGGACAGGGAACCTGCAAAGAGAGACACTCGTGGGTGCTGGGGCAGAATCCAGGGGGAAGTTCTTCATGGGTCTTAGACCAAGGGGCTGACATAAGATGGAAACTGAGACTCAGTTTACAAGGCCTGTCCCTACCTGTGCAGTGAGAGAGGAGCATGAGGAGGAGAGGAGCCCAGGCCATGGTGGACTCAGCCTCTGGTCCCCACAGTGGTGCTGGGCTGCCCCAGGCCTCCTTTTGTCCCACCCTCTGCAGAGGAGGGGCTGCTCATGCAAATGTGTTTCCATCCAGGGACTGCCCAGCCCCTCCCTGAGCCCTGAGCTGGAGCTCAGCTTTCACTGCACACTGAGGAGGAGGGAGCTTTGCTTTGCCCCTTGGGGGAGCCCTGGGAGGAAGCACCTGCTGGGACCATACAAAGGGCCCTGCTCAGGGGACTGTGCCAGGGCAGAGAGGACACAGCTGCTGAGTCCCCATCAGTGAGCACAGGATCCAGTCCTGAAGTCAAAGCTCCTTGGAGTGAATGGTCCTCCCTGAGCAGCTATGTGGGGACCAGAGGGCAGTCCCCCAGCGTCCCCTGCTGGTGATGGGCACACACTCCCCATGGCCCAGAGACCTGAGAGCCCAGCTGGTCTCTGCAGCTCCCCAGTCACTGTCTCTGGTCACACAGCCATGGGCTGACTCCCTGGTGGAGTGATCCCAATGCACTGTGAGTGATTCCTGGGGTTTCTCACTCCCACAAGGAACCCTGGACTAGGAGAGGTGCAATCAGGGGCATATGTAACAGTTTTAGGTACTAGCCCCCCAGAATTTCCTACATTCTAGAAAAACCGAAATGACATTCACGTGCCATCATTGTAGGCACCTCAGATGCTGAAACCTTGAGCTGATTTGAATGGCGGGACCGGCTGTTCAGGGGATCGGAATGGAAGGAATTGGCTCAGTGATGTGTTTAAATTCTAGCAATTCAGAAAACATTTCAAAACTCACACAATGAGGGTACTGAGTAGACATGATTTGTGAATTAGTAGTTGGGTAGAAATAATATTTACTTGTTGATAGTCTAACACATTTCTTCAGTTTTTGAAGTGAGTTCCATCTTTCTAAATTTGTAGTTTTCTGATTATCTGTGTGCTATAATTCTTATTAGTATTTTGTTTTCAATTGAATACAATGTGTTTCTTCAGTTTATTTATTTATTTTACTTCAGCATATTACGGAGGTACAAATGTTTAGGTTATACACATTTTCTTTGCCCCGCCTGAGTCAGAGCTTCAAGCCTGTCCCTCTCCCAGAGGGTGCGAACTGCACCATTAGGAGTGAATATACCCATCCCCCACCCCCTCCCACCTGCGCGACACCCGGTAAATGTTACTACTCTGTGTGCACGTAAGTAC